TAGGATTAGTACACAGTAAATACTAATATTATTTAATACTATTTATTTAATACTATCTGTTATTAATTACATTTGACTAAAATTGTGGTATTATTTAGACATTATATGTCAAATAATTCTTCCAGGTCAAATTAATGAGTTGAAGACAAAATAAAAGCTATCAGTTTAAGGTTCCATCACACCAAGATAGATATTTCATAAAGAAATCAATTGCGCAGATATACTAAGTTTAAATAATTATTCCCTCCCTTCATTTTTAGTCGATCATGATTAAATAATAATTTTATTAATTATAATTAATTTAACTATTAAAATGTTAATATTCTTTCATTTCAAAACGAATAGTTTAATTTTTTAGTTTATTCAAAAAAGAATGATTCATTTTCATTTTTGGTAATATTTTAACTTTATTTTTTCATGTGTCATGTTTAAGATCACAAGATTAAAGACATTTTAGTACATTTGACATAACTTTAATTTAAAACTACAAGATTAAAAAATCTTTTTTCTTCTTTTAAATTCCGTTCCAAGTCAAATTAGATTATCTTTTTTAAAATAGAGGGAGCCGTATTTAATTACAAAAAAAATAATAAATTATTTTTTTCATTTTTAAAATTAAATATATAAATATTTTTAATATAAGGAATAATTAAAAATTGAGAAATGGAGCATATGACGCAAAATTATGGAATAAGTGAATTATAACTAGGTTCATGTGTTAAATCAATAATGAAGTAGTTATCTGTCGTTTTTAAGTCCAAAATTGATATGACTAGACTAATGTACTAATTTTTATGCTCTAACAAAAGAAACCTTACAGATTTTCTTGAAATTTTCAAAGCTAGATGACATTTAAGTCAGAGAGTATCTTAATTTGAAAGACAGTTCATCAAACAAGAATGGATGTTTGATTTGGTGGAGCTGTAGGATATATGTCTTGTACACAAAATCCAAGTCGTCGACTTCCACAAGGAACAATATTTTACAAAAGATGTTCTAGCGTTAAAGTGTGAATGCTCTTCTTAAAAAAGTAAAAGAAAAGTTTTGAACACACGAATACTAAAAGTCTGTATGCTACTAGTAAAAATTTGAACTCACCAACATTTAAAGCCTGTGTGTCTTTATTCTTTTTGGGTGTCTTAAAATCACTGAACCACATTCATATTATTGTGTCAAGGATGTCCAGAATATATTATTTAATCACTTTGTTTATCATTATACGTGTACATACAATATAATTTACCAACGAAGGATGTCTAATTGGACACCTTAACATGAGTGTAGCTACGCCACTGACAATTCATATCCTACCTGCATCTTACAGATATATAATACCACATATGACCTGTGTGTCTATTTGTTTGTTCAGTTTTATACAAATTTAAGACAAATATCAGAAAATGTCAAGTTAAATAACATATTTATATATTTTTTTTGTTAGATATTAATCTTCCGTCCATTTTTTTTTTACATCATTGACTTGATACACTATTAAAGAATAAAATAACTTTTTTAAAAAAAAGAAAAACTGAACAAGTAAAAAGGAGTATCTAAAAGAAGGGATTGGACAAATTAAAAGAATAGTGTTTGAAGGAGGTTCATGCATTATAGTATACATTTGATTTTGGAGAAAAGTAGTTGAATTTTAACCATTGTGACCCCAGCCAAAAATTTGCTTTCAACTCCTCTGTACTAATGGGTCCATGAAGGTTCTACTTTACCTAGATTTGGCTTTGTTAGACAAGCCATGTAGAAGTGGGCAAAAGATGTTATATCTACTTTAGCAATATGTGTGCCCACAATAACACTACTAGCTATAGATAATGCAATCAATAAGTGAAGTGATGAGGATAATAAACTACTACTATTCTATACCAAAAAAAAAAGTTGTCACAACTCATAGTTACAATGTAATTTCAACAATTAAATCTTTAATAATAAAAAAGTTAGATACTTTAGTATAGGGTGCCCACAACCCATAGTTTGTGCTATTATGACCATTGTGAAAGTGAAGATAGATGATGCCAGCCATATCATAATCATGAACATCAACTAACAAATTCCATTATATTAGAACCTGCCCTTTATAACACCTAATTCACTCAAATATTTTAAACACTTACAACTCCTAAAACCACTTTGGTAGTTATTTTTCTAACTGACAATCCTCTGCCATCATGGTCAGTACTCAGTTCTTGCTCCCCCACCCCCCCTAAAAAAATTTAAATTTTTTTTTTGATGGTTCTTTGTTTTGTCAGGAGGAAGGTACAAAGTTAGACTACAATTCTGTAAGGAATTGCAAAACTAAAGGAAAAGGTGGATTTAGAGCTTCTTCCTTCATCTATGGTAAGTGAAATATTTGGTAAAAGCAATTACTTTCTTTCCAAAAATGCAAGTTCCGCCATATTTAATTTGATTTGAATTTGTAGGTTTTGTGGCATTAGACAATATTGGATTTGTAGCAAACATGGTGAGCATGGTACTATACTTGTCCTTCAAGATGCATTTCGACTTGAGCGGTTCAGCCAACACGGTTACCAACTTGTTAGGCTCAACATATTTGCTCTCTGTAATTGGAGGTTTCATTTCTGATACTTACCTCAATAGATTCAACACCATAGTCATTTTTGGAACTGCTGAAATACTCGTAAGTTTAATTATTTTTGAGAAATCGATGTAGAATTATGGATGAGTTATTTATTAATGGTTATATACATTAGGCATGGGCGTTGATGACGATTCAAGCTCGTTACTCAATTTTGCAACCAAAATCAAATTCATTAGAAGGTGGAATAGCAGTATTGTTTTATGTATCAGTGTGTTTGTTAGCATTGGGTACTGGTGGTGTAAGGGGAGCATTACCAGCATTGGGTGCAGATCAATTTGATGAGAAGAATACAAAAGGGGCAGTTGGAAAATACTTTAACTGGCTATTGTTAAGCTCAGTGTCAGGTTCAGCTATTGGTGTAACAATTATTGTTTGGGTTAGCACTAATAAAGGGTGGTGGATGGGTTTTCTCATTAGTTTTGTTACTACTTTTCTTGGTTTCATTATTTTTGTCTTTGGAAAGCCATTCTATCAACTTCAACTTCCTGCTCAAATTCCACCACTTACAAGGATACTCCAGGTATTTTTCTTTTTTTATCTTACACTTTAATTACATGTAACACATAAACATATGAATCTAAACAAGCAAGCACTTAAAAGTCTACACAATTAGTTAATTAATCTTGTTATTTAATAATAAAGTTGACTTGAGAAAATATTAATTAAATTAGGATAAAAGGATAAAGTTACATCATTTCTTAATACAAGTATAGAGTAAAAAGGGACGAAGAGAGTATATAAAGTTGAACAAGCACTAGATACATGTTTTCTATGTGGGGTCTCACGCGGATTGCCAAATAGGATTTTCATGTAGTATTCGTGTGTCTATATACACTACAACATATATATAAAAGATTTACTAATGATAATAAATATGAATATTTATAACCATCAGGATTTAGCGACACCGAATGCAATGTCATTACTTCAATTCACGCTAAAAGGAAAATCTATTGTCTCTAAATGTCTCATAAGCTACTTGTTCAATTTTATAACAGGTTTTAAGTATCTACTTATACACATGTAAAATTCTAAAGGATATAAATATTAGTTAAATACAAATTAATTAAAAGATATGTTTATGTATAATGTTAATTAATTAACGATTTTATTATTATATAGGTTATCGTTGTGGCGATCAGAAACCGAAAGTTGCAATTACCAGATAACCCTCAACAATTGTATGAGAAAGACTCAGATTTATCAGAACCAAAAATTGCTCATACTAATCAATTCAGGTAATGTAATAATTATATCTAAGGTACTTGTGTAATAATTTGAATAGAAGAAAATGACGTTTTTTTCACGTATATTAATTAGGTGTTTTGACAAAGCTGCAATTGTTCCAAAAAGTGTTGAAATAAGAGAATGGAGAGTTTGCACAGTGAGTGAAGTTGAAGAAGTGAAAATAGTAACAAGAATGTTGCCTATAATAGGGAGCACCATAATAATGAACACATGTTTAGCACAGCTTCAGACATTCTCAGTCCAACAAGGTTATCGAATGAATCGTCATTTTGGTTCGTTTGAAGTACCAGCACCATCAGTACCAGTCATTCCATTGCTCTTCATGTGTATTCTCATACCTATTTATGATTTAGTATTCGTTCCATTTGCTCGTAAAATCACAAATCATCCCTCTGGAATCACACAACTTCAACGTGTAGGCGTTGGATTAGTCCTATCTATCATGTCAATGGGTATAGCTGCATTGGTTGAGATAAAAAGGAAGAAAGAATCATTGAAAAATCCATTGAAACCTATACATGTGTTTTGGTTATCATTCCAATATGCAATATTTGGTATTGCTGATATGTTTACATTAGTTGGAATGCTTGAGTTTTTCTACAAAGAAGCACCTAGTGGAATGAGGTCACTTTCTACTTCATTTACATGGATTTCACTATCGTTTGGATACTTTTTGAGCAGTGCGTTTGTTGACATTATTAACGCAGTTACTAAAAGAGTTTCATCAAGTAAAAAAGGATGGTTGGATGGACAAGATTTGGATCATAACAATTTGCAACTTTTCTATTGGTTTTTGGCTATTCTAAGTTGCCTCAACTTTATAAATTATGTTTATTGGGCTTGTTGGTACAAGTATAAATCAGATGATCATCAGACTTCACCTGATGGTAATGTTTTGCCTAAATCAGCTTCTGTTAGTAGGGTGCCATTTCTCAAGGCAGATCATGTGGAGAATTAAATGATTCGTCTTTCCGGGATTTATGTGTTTTTCATTCTTTTTGAGTTTATTGTAAAAGCTTGAAATTAAATGAAGTATCTTCTACTCTTCATTCATCTCACGAGTGTTTTATTTTTATAGTAACACTTTTTTATGGTTTACAAAACCAAACATAGTGTCTGTGTGCTCAAATAAAAAGATATTGCATTAGACACATCAAAATTCAGTAATACGAATTTCCTTACAAAGACAACTCAACTGATTACAGTTATGCTCTTTCGCAACACTTTCATATTATTAAACTACGCACACTTGTTGAATCTTTCTCTTCTCACAACTTCAAAGTTACATTTTTCCAACAATTTTGATGTAGTTCCTCAGAGGACACGAAAAAGGGGTGGGAGGATACATCTAATATTACCACCAATAAAAAGGACAACAGACAACAGCCTAGGATATATATGACATCTCAATAAACATGGATGTCAACGCCAATACTTCCCAGCTTCTTCGTTGAATGATAGCGAAGCCAAAGGTATGAAAGCCGAGAAATTGCTGCTTGGCGAGCAACTTGAACTCCTCTACATGCAAGGTTTAAATCCACTAACACTTCGTTACGTGTTAGATCTGACTCAACACTTTCATCATATCCATCAAGGTCACATTCAGAGACTAGAACAACCGAGCCATCATCAAAGACAGCAACTTCTTTTTGAGCTGGAACGTCAAGCATTTTCGATGAATTATCATCTCTACAAACATCATTATCAGTATTTTTTACTCTTGTGTAGTATTCTTGAACAGCCTGCATATGTATTGTCGTTTTTAACTTCAGAAAAATAAGAATAGAAAGGACAGGGAATTCTAAGCTATCTCGGAAAGCATTTTAAATACAGTAATATATTCTTCTTCTTTTTTATAACCAAGAAATACATTAATTCTAGCTTCATAAAATGGTGGTTTAAAGGCCCTCTCATCTACCCCTTCTCCACTTTCAATTCCATTTTGCTTCACCAGCCAGGATTCAACTAGTGATGGCGTGAGTTGTACTATAGCTTTTGTCTTTGAACTATAGACCCGAGGGCAGTAATATATACATAGCATAAAACACAAAAGCACACAAATTTAAAGCGTGAGGGACCGGCTATACATATTCTAACTCAGATGCGCAGAATCAAGCAAGAATATAAGTGTTGCACTTGGAACAAAAACAACATGAACAATTAAACCTCAATGCAGAACAGGTATCTTAGCATACCTGCCACTGAGAGGGGGCCAACAACACCCTTGGTCTGATGGATCTGACATAATCATAAGCAGCCTCAGGTGTCATGTCCTTGTGTTTGACCTGCTCAACAGGTATCATTAGAATAAAAAATAGCCAAAGCAGATTATAACTGAACGCTCTTAGGTATGGTGCCCACCAGGTAGCAAAGGACAATGGTTGTACTACGTCCACGGCCGGCCTTACAGTGTACGTACGTTGTCTTCCCACAAGATGCATTACCTTCAACGTCACATGCATTAAAAGTATGAACGGGCAATCAGAGATAATGCAATGAAACTGCAAAGTCCGGCAATGTAAGATATATACTTGAAACCATGATATATGAACACTGGGAAAAGATTCTTACCATCACTACTTACTTAAGAGCTGGGTGAAAAACACTTACTGTGGATGAATTCTATAGCTCGGTCAATATCTCCATCTGATGGTGCAAAAAAATAGTCTCTGGTAGGAATCACCAAGTGATTGATGTCATGATCCTACCCAAAAGAAAAAGAAAAGAGGGGGCATCAATGGAATGAATATATTGTTGCAAATCATCACCTTTAAGAATGATAGGAAATGTTGGAACTTCTGGCTAATGTGCACTACTTAAATAACATTAGGCACAAACATACAGGACCAAGTATGTTTTTACTAGTTGTAATTGATTCCTTCACATACTACATGCTTTAATTAAGAGTTTCACTCAAAATATGTATATAGACAGATAACAATCCAGTCATCTTCTTTCAATCCTGTTATTGAACTAGCGTAGTAAATAACAATGCTTCTTAACAAGCAATTTTAGTACATAATGAAATGAAATGACTGAAAAGATGGTGATATTAAGAAAGTGGGCTTAGACGGTACAAGATATAATGACGTTGAGACCAAAGTCTCATATGATTCATTCAACGTGACCACTCCAGCAACACCTAGAGCCTTCAAGCGAGGGACATCAGTAGGAAATGGAACAGCTCCTAACAGTATGAACTGAAAAATAGAAAATTAATCAATAAAAACAAACAACACCTCAATCAACTGAAACAAAAAGTGAAAGAAAAGACAAATGGTTAGACCTCAATGTATGACACAGTGTTATGGACGGCGAGAGGTGACAAAAGGCGACAAGGGCCTGCCTCGCCACGCTCGCCGCTCGCCTTTTTGAAATAGGCGCCAGTTAATACCAAAAATTAAATATATTTAATTGCATATATAAATATCCAAAATCTCAATAGCAATAACATATATTAGCGAAATATTTCAATTCAAAAACTCATAAAGAGAGCAGAGGAAAAAAACATAGAGCAGTCAGCACACTAAACATTTTTCCCTTATTACTTGTGCTGATTCAGCAGTGATGAAGGAAAAAAAAAACAGAGCAACTGAAGAAGAAGAAAACTCAAGAAGAACTGAAGAAGAAGAAAGAAAAGATTGCACGAGGAAGAGGAGTCGAGGAGCAGCAAAAAAGAGGTATACCTCAGGTCCTCAGTGCAGCAGCAACTCGAAGTCTCGAAGAGACGCGACCGGCGAGGGGAAGAGGAGTCGGGGAGAAGAGATCACGAGGGGAAGAGGAGTCACGCAGCAGCAAATTTTGAAAATAGAAAAAAAAAATAATTTTGACTAATATTGTTAAGTCAAATCTTTTTTAAAAAATTAAAATCAAAAAGGCGCCGCCGTTATTGTCGCCATGGGTCGCCTTTTGTATGTCACCTCGCCTCAGTGTGGAATGGCGAGAAGGGCTCGCCTCGCCTCTCCTCTCGCCTTTGGCGATGAGGCGCTCGCCATTCACAACACTGGTATGACATTTTACTTTTGAGAGACAATACTTCAGAGATAGCTCTGCCCTGATAAAAGGACAGATAAGAAAAGAACAAACTGAGGAAACTCTACAACCCACAATATGGTAGTGCATGAACAAATATTAACAACAGCTTGAATTCACATGGTAGCTTGTATATAAATAAAAATTTGGTTGAAAGCAGATTGAATCAATAAACCAGAAATTCTGCAACAACTGCAAATATTCGGATCAAGAATTGGGAGGGGAGCGAGATCGGATAGTGAAATGGAATGAAAGTGAAAGGACAGTAGCAAAATAAGAGAGACGCGCTATTAAAACTCTTTTCCGAAAAGGATACTAATTTTCTTCTCCTTAAATTTGCTTTACACCCAATATAAAATACTTGTTTAACTCTTTTGTATCCACAAAGTTCCTTTTCCATTCAGTACAATATGGCCCAACAACAACATACCCCATGAAATCCCACATAGTGAGTCTGTGTATGCAGACATTACCTCTACCTCGTTGAGAAGTTGTTTCTGAAATACCCTCAGCTCAAGTAAAACAAATCACAGTAGTAATGGAAATAAAAAACGACAATCAAGAAAAACATGACAACTAATAGGAAAGCAACAGGGAACATATATGTAAGGAACCGTAACATCAACAACAACGCGTGATTACCTAAACCTAGTAAACAACACATAATAATAGATGCCAAAAGCCGAAGATTGCATTAACAGGCTAATACTATGAAAAACACGGTGCTCTAGGCTGCCACCAAGACAGAGACTACATAAATAAGCTAATACTAAGACAAAGTTCGACTACCTTCTAACTTTCTACCCTTATTCTATCTGAGGTCATGTCCGCGGTAAGATTTAATACAATCTGTCCATATCACACAAATTGGTGCCACTGTCAGGTAAAAGAATCCTAAAGTTTCTACTTCTTGAACACCCAGTCATTTTATTCTTGAAATGTAAAAACTTAGGGAACGGCGATATCACAAGCTAGCCCGAGAAAGCCAAGGACAAGGGGAGTAAACAGGATGATGATCTACAATCACCTCCCCCACAAAATAAGAGAATACACATCGAACACATGATTTACAACTCTAAATTGACAGAAGAAGGGTAGAGGATAGGTACAGAATTAATCAAATTCACCAAACCAAAGCAGCTAAGAGTATCAGAGAACCTGTGAAAAATTAAGTATTATAAATTAATGCCAACAACTATTACAGTTGCACATGGGGAACTCCAACACTGCATTTCTACAACAGTGACGTAGAAGAGGTATCAACTTCTTAGAAAACCTCTTATATTAAATGCTCAGCACTAATTTGCCCATGTTAAGCACCAGAGCAATGAGAGGAAATTAGAAAAAACAATTCAACATATGCATTGCAACTTAATACTAAGATTTCATATCCTATAATGTATCTCACTGACAACAACTGAAGTTTCTCTTATTACAGCATTTGCATCTCATAATTTTGTACTTACTCGTGCTAAATTTTGAGCCAAGCTACTAATTTTAGTGCCTGACAATCTACAAACTGATTCATGAACACCTAATGGGAAACTAAAAGGATAACTAAGCATCCCATAAATATAAGGTCAAAACATTAGAAGCATAAACTCTATATAAAAGTGAGTAACAAATCACGCCCTAATGTAGAAGGTGAGTTTGAGGCAGTAAAGGTTAAAGAACTTTTGAGAACATTCAGATATATAACTTGATTTTCCTTTAGGCCTTCCCAAGTAATATCTTCAACAAGTTAGATGAACAATAGTTTATTAAGTTAAAAGAGTGCAGTTCCAATTGTAGCTCTCGATTGAAGTTACTATCAAGAGAGCAAAGCACATATGAAACAAATGACAAGGGAGGGATAATCTCCTCGACGTTAGCCAAGAGGTTGGGTTCAAGTCACCAAGGAGCAAAGTGGAAAAACTTACATTGTCTCCTTGACGAGGCAATTGGTATTGCGTATGGGGTTACAGTTTAAAACAACAAAGAAAGATAACAAATGAGACAGCAATACTAAGAACTTGATCCTGGCTTAACTTGGACTAGGCAAACTATGTGTCACATCTCAAAGTCAATAACTTTTACTTCTATTATACATTGAAGAAGTCTAATTACCAATCCAGGAGATGTTAGGAAAATTGACATTGACCAACTATTATTATACAATGCAATATGAAATTAAAACTTAATATCAATACATACATAAACAGCAGATATATATCATGTAATAGTAAACAAGATGAATACAGATAGGTACAAATTATACCTCATCAACCCTATCCCACCATCGAAACTCGGTCTGAATCTTGTTTCTCACAACATTATACAGCAATGTAGGATAAAAAAGAGCACGAGCCCCCGCTCCAACCAAAGCCCTTTTCGTATCCGAAACAGCCAATGGACCTTCACAAGTATCATCACAAAACTTCTCCTCCCTGTTAACTACTTCCCTCTCCTCCTTCAGTTCTTCAATATACATTTTCTAATTTGCACTAAACAAAACCCTAAAAAATAATTTGGATTCAAGCTTAATAAACAGGTCCAATCTTTATTCCTATACAGTATGAATAGAAAAACCCAGAAACCTGAAAAAATGAATTAACTAATTAAAAAGCACATAACTACAAGAAATGAAAAACCCAGAAAAATAAATTCAATTCAGACACCAGTTTACTCACCAAAACTGAAACCAAATGCAGCAAAACACCTAAACTGGACAAAAATTGCACATATTCCAACGGCAAGATAAAACCCAAAAAGAATTGGATTGAAGCATGTATCTTTTCCAAAGCATATTTGATTTATTAACAAGAACAACAACAAGAAAAAAGAAACCTAATCCCCCGAAAGGGAAGAAAAAATGATGTAAGAAACAAGAATTCCAAATAAAAAAAGAAAATTAAATTGATAGGGTAAAGAAAGGTTCTTGGTTGTTAGGTGAAATCTAATTGTTCAAAGGGCATATAGAGACTAGAGTGGGTGACTTTCTCTCTCTAACAATTTCTGTGTGTTTCTCTCTCTTCTTTCTATACCTTTCCTTTTCTCTCAACAGACAAACTCTCGTCTATGAGCCCCTCTACGTACAATCAATTTTAGAAAACACGCATTATTTTGTAAAATATTAATTATTTATTTCTCAACCTAAATATAAAATTATATACTTTCTACGTTTCATATTAGGTAAAAGAAATTAGATTATTTCTTATGATTAAGATAATTAAATTATTTAAAATTTGAGATGGATGTTTGAAGAAATAGTTATATTTTAAATAAAATTTTATACTTTTTACGAGAAAAATCACACTAAAATATATAATGATAATTATAATTTAAATTATGTTGTTGAATGCTTTTTTCTTAATATATCTGCATTATTTCACAAATTCAGTTAATCTAAAATAGAGGAAATATCAATTAATATATGTATTTGTGGTGAAAGAATACTATAAAAATAATTTACCAGTTATAGTAGGTTAATAATAAAATTAATGATAAAAAAAGATATTACCAGATATATAATTATAATCCTTAAAAATTTATTACATGCCATAAATAGAGGTGATGAGATTTAAGAAAGGAAGTTAGCATTTGGTTTGTAACGGCAGAATTGATTTTCTGGTTACCCGTCTTTGGAGGGAAACGTTATGGATATGGAAGCAAACGTATGAGGTAATATAATATTATATATAGTATAATATTTTTAATTTGAAAATATAAAATAAAGTTAAATAAAAATATGTAAGTTTCTAATATTAGTGAATATTAATTTCAGTTAATAGTTGTTAAACAAAGAAAGAAGTCAAAAATGACAGAATGTGAAAGTTTAATTTTTTGGGAAAATACATTAAAAATTTTCTGAACTCGACAATAAAACTTACTTTAGCATTTAAATTATACGAATATTTATATCTACTTTTTTAAAAGCGAGTGAAAAGTTAAAAATAAAAAAATTGAATTATAAAATTATACACGTGTCATTATTTTATTGGCTAGTATATAAACAATATTTTTAAATGTTTTTTTTATAAATCAAGTTTATAAAAATATGTGAAATTTCTAATTTAGAACTAAAAATAAACTGCGGGCCCCATTTAAAAAAAATTCTCTCTCTTTATTTTTGTTTTGTTGTCTTCATCAAATACTTTTTTCTCAATTTAAGCATATTCGTATACATTTCTTCATCCATATTAGTCATTTCTTTCTTCATCTTTATCACCCACCTCTACACCCTACTTTCATTCCATCGGCCTTTTAGTAATCCAAAAAATTCAACACTAACATTATATTTTTTACTTCGATTTCAATATAAACTTTGTTGTTTAAGTGATCCATTTTGTCAAAAAAAACTACTTTCAAAAGATTCAGAATCCATTTGGATGGGCTTAAAAAAACAACTTTCAAAAAGTACTTTTGAAAGCTGAAACTTATTTTAAAATAAGTAGTTATCTGTTTGGATAAAAGTGTTTCAGTTGAAAAGAAAAAGTTATTGATGTGTTTGGCAAATAAGTGCCGATAAACACTTTTTTTATGAAAATGTCTTAAATACCCTTAAAACTATTAATACGATAAAAAGTTGATTAATTCAATTTTTTATACTTAAAAAATTAAAATAAAATTAATTTATATTTTACATCCATAAGTAATTCCTATCATTCACATAATTCTTTATCATCAAATTTTTTTATAATAATAATAATAATAATAGTAATAATAATAACAACAACAAAAATTAATAACAATAATAATAATAATAATAATAATAATAATAATGATAATAATCACCTAGTGTATGTCCAAAATGGACATGCAAAAGGTATATGACTCATTGGAATGTCATTTTCTTGAGGAAGCGTTGGTCGGTATGCAGATACCTGAACAGTTTATCTTTTGAATTATGAAATGTGTTAGGACAGTCACTTACTTAATTTTGATTAATGGAAGCCCCAGTGTTCCATTTCATGCAAGGAGAGGGGTGAGGCAAGGCGACTCTTTATCTCCTTACTTGTTTGTGTTAGCTATGGATTATATTACAAGACTATTGAAATCACTGAGAAATAGGAGTAAGTTTAAGTTCCATCCGAGATGTAAAAAACAACAAATATTCCAATTATGCTTTGCAGATGATCTCTTGTTATTTTGCAGAGGAAACATACCATCAACTACATTGTTGTTTGAATGCTTTCAGCAATTCTCCAAAATATTAGGACTCATAGCTAACCAAGCCAAAAGTTGTGTGTACTTTGGTGGAGTTCCAGAATCCATCCAGCAAAGGATATTACAATATACATGTTTCACTAAAGGAACTTTTCCTTTCAAGTATACTGGAGTTCCACTTAGTTCAAAGAATTTATCTATCAGCCAATGTCAACCATTATTAGATAAGATGGTGGAAAATTTGAATATTAGTGTAACTTGAATTAATTAATGGATGGGTGATCATGGATAATTAAATTAATAGATAGTTAATGGGTTAAAGTGAATTAAATTATTTGGGGTTAACATATGATACCTAACTAAAAAGGGTAAAGAGGAGAACGTGTGTCTTTGAGAGAGGGAGAGAACTGCCGGCGAGGAAAAAAAATAAGTACAAAGAAAAGTTTAATGAATTAGGCACCTACTTTTCTTCCCTTTCAATATAAATATAATTAACATATATGTCAGGATGATGTGATTTTTGTTGACAAAATAAGGTGTATTGTGGGAATAGTAAAAAAAAAGAACGAAAGACATTAATGGGGGCAGCATAAAGTAAAGTTAATGGAAACTTTTCAATTGAAAAATTGTCAGGTTAGGAATTACAGTAATACCTATGTCAATTAATAATTTATTATATATATATATATATATATGTACTTGCAGTTCCCTATTTTGTATAGTTTTAGGTGCCTGCGTTGATTATTTATTCTTGTTAAATTAAAAAAAAAATATTAGGTGTAACACAAATTAGGATGCCTTCCTCGAGTTTTTATTTTGTTTTCGTTTCAACACTTGAAAGTTGCTATGATATTTTTTTTCATGGATTGATTTTGTTATAAGTTGAAATATCAGTGTTGGGTGGAACAATTCCTATATAAAGTGAGGATTCATGTATTACTATTATTTAATGGATATAGTAGTAGTAAGTAGGAAGGAAAGAATATGATTCGTATTGTCTGTAGATCAGATAGGACAATTTATTCTTTTTCTCTTGTTTTTGCTTTACCCTTAATTTTTTTTATCAATTGTTTATTTCTATTAAGAGTGAAGTGATGATTGGTCAATGATTCGGTTGGGTGATTTGAGCATGGATAATTTGATGGGTAATTTTGGACATTGAAAAAGAGAAAGAACAAAATATTTGGCATAAATGAAAGAATATGGGGGAATGGAAATTGGTAGATGTTCATCGTGGGTTCTGGAAAAAAAAATTGTGAATATTTTAATGTGTAATGGTCGTTGTACATAGGTGGAGGGTAATTAGGAATTGGAATAAGTATATCCAGTGGCATATTGGAATTTGAATGTTGTACTTTTTTTTTGTGGATGATTGGTGATTTGGCTTAATTTCTTATTATATCACATTATGAGTTAAGTTTTGGCTTATTGAAATAGGTAATTATCATATATGTATCATGTGAATAATAATATTGAAAAAAGATGATATTTAACCTTAGACTTGAAACTTGGAAAATATGATAGTTAAAATGTTAGTTGGCATCAACAATTACGAACTTGATTATAAATTTAAGCGAATTTAGGTCTAGGCTAAACCTATAGTAATATGGATGTTGTTAGCTTTGAAACCTTGTTGTGAATATACATTTGAACAGGTTGCATTGGTTCGGAAGTTCAACGAAAAGGGAAGACTCAAGTCCCAGAGTGATTATTCGATTGACTAAGGCAAGTGGATTTCTAAACTCTTGTTAAGCGTATGAAATTCGTGTTTTTCCATGTGTAGTGTGGAGAATGATTTGGAGACCTGTTCTTATTTGTTGGTGTTGTATTCCTTGTTGCAAATTGTGCTTTGTTATCAAAATGGTTATCTTCTCATTTCTCATTTGAGCATGTCATTTGCATTGTATCTGAGACATGATTGTGATAAGAGTTAAGTACCATTTCGAGGGTCGTATCGCACCGCGATGGATATTATATTTTGAGTAACGTATCACTCGCTGCAATGGTTACTATTATCGAGGGTCGTGTCATGCACCGCGACAGATATGTCCCCCATGGGTCCCAGACTGAGAGACAGCAGGTATGTATCGTTTAGGAAGACATGCATCACTGTACTTGACATTGCATCTCATGACATTACACATTTTGGTTATTGATGAACTTGAACACCTGTTTTCTGATCTTGTGAGTGTTTCTCTGTGAAACTTGTGAATGTTGAATATTGAGTTGTTATTTCAAATATGTAAACTGATAGAGTGTGGTTAATGAGTTGTGTGTTTGGTAAACTATGAATTGTTGGGCTATAGCGTGGAGGTTTAGATAGAGTGTAAGGAGTACCCGTATTTTGTTCACTTAACTTGTGTTTAGAGATTGACTTGTTGGGTACCGCGTGCTTTAGTACTCACCCCTTGCTTCTATAAATTTTTTTAGGTTACGAGACCGGATCTTCGTGATATCTCTCATTCTCTTCGTTTCTGAGGCATCTTGTGGAGGATTGTGAGATAGTTGCTTGTCATCTCAGCAAACTTTCCTACTCCAGTTTATAATTTTATTTTTACTTGAAAGACAACTTCATTTTAAACTCGTATTTTATTTCAATTCTAATATTTAAATTAGAGTCGTGTGCACGTGACAACCTAGTTTTTGGGATTGAATTAAGTCGACTTGTTTTCATAATAGAAATTATTGTTGGATTGTTGTTTATTTCTGCACTTTGTTAGATATTGGGTCTTAATCTAACTTGTCTTGGTGGTATAAGACGAGTGCCATCACACCCATTTTTGGGTCGTGACAAAATAGTATGAGAGCCCCAGGTTCATAGATCTCACGTGTATTCAAGTCGAGTATACGTAGAGTCTCAATGATCAGTACGGAGACGTCTGTACTCCTCGATGAGAG